GCTAGAATTCAAATTTTCAAGCTCTAATATGCCCAAAAATGGGGTGTTGTACACTGATATACCTGATGTATACATTGTGGTCTACCGTCGAAAATACAACATACAATGCAAAAACGTAAAAACATAGATTGAAGAAGGCAGAGATACAACGTTCGAATAAAATTACAAGTTTTGAAAGGACAAAAAAGGAGTTTGATACAAGTCATATACAATAATATACATCTAATGTATATCAGATTCTCCATGAAAAGTGTGCCAAAGTCCAATTCGGAATTGCTGCAAGATTTTGGAAGAGGTGGGCCTAAAAGTCCATTTTGCTGAATTTAGGCAAAGAGCCAAAGTTCAAACTTTCTCATTTTATTTATTTGCTATTGTATTGACTAATATTTCTTATTTGATTTTGATTTGACTTATTTCATTTTCCAAAGATAGTCGTTTCTCATTTTATATTCAAATAAAAATTATTTGTATCTTATACTTAGTTCTATTTTATTAGTCTTGTCAACACTTAATTAATCCCCTCAGAAAATTTTCTTTTAGTTTTCCCCCCTTAAAATATAATAAAAAAACGAGTCTTCTTAGTTAGTTAAATAATGAGCGAAAATGTTTAAATATAAACAAGTGAAAGCATCATTCTTAAAAAAGCATCTACAATGACATCAAATTACATTTTTCAGTATCAAGGACGTTTGAAAATTATTCACAAATCACGTCGATATTAGAGGCGGTAATGTCAGAACCCTCCCTAGAGATACATTTCTACAATATTATCATATGAGATAATATCACTATCCAGAGGGACATACCTGCAGTATTATCAAATGAGATAGTACCACTATCGAGAATGACATCATTGTCATTTATTGGATGTAATATCAACATGATCCTGGAAGTGGATGAACATCTTCCTATTAATGGATCATCAACAAAGCATCATCATCCGATCAATGGAGCATCAACATCATCCTGCCTATAGACCAACATCATCCTACCAATGTATCATTAACGGAGAATCATCATCGTATCAATGGAGCATCAACATCTTCCTGTTAATCGATCAATATAATCCTGCCAATGGATCATCAACGAAGCATCATCGTTCTAATAGTGGAGCATCAACATAATCCTACCAATGGATCATCAATGAAGAATCATCGTTCTATCAATGGAGCATCAAAATCATCCTACAAATGGGGCATCATCATCTTATCATGTAGCAACATTATCCTACCAATGGATCACCACCATCTTATGAATGAATTATCATCTTTCTATAAATGAAGATTTCCTTTCAAATCATATCATGTCATCATCCACCGCGTCAAAATCGATGGAGGCTAAAGTAAGAACATTTATAGAAAAGAACATGTGTCGAATACAGTAAAACATATTACTTCTCTATTTAAATTACAGTTTTTTCTAACAAGTTTGTTCATTTGTTTGTCGAGACCATCCAAGAGGATGAATTTTCAAATAAAACCATAGGTGAAGACGACATCAAAAAAAGACGCAGCACAACGTGGAACTTTTTCTTAGCTGAGCTAAGGATCGAATTATAAAGTCATCCACCTCGTTGCAGTTGGAATATTATCGAGTCATCCACATTGTTACATTTTGATAACCATCGAGGCATCCACCTCGTTATAGTTGAATAATCATTGAGTCATCTAGCTCGTTGTAGAGATCACTGGAGTTTTCCATGCAGAAAATAAGTAATGACATCTACAAACCCTCAATAAATCATGAGTTGTAATGGACATACGGTGTTCGAAAGCGGTATTCATAATCTTTTACTCCCAATACTTCTTTATTTTCTCATATAATGCAAAAAGATGTTTATGTTTATCCATTAAGATATATTCATTTGTCATATGAATGATCTTTTTTTATTTTTTAACTCAAACCACCAGCTAAAATGGTATTATGTCAACTAATCATTTACCTTGAGTGTGCAGGCATATACTGAACAAACCTATGCTACATCTTTCATAGTAAAGTAACTGAAAAGCATCGTACGAGAAGCTACCACTTTTTCAAATTATAGTTTTTACTAACAAGTTTATTTTGGTCTTTATCGAGAGCATCCGAGAGAATGAATTCTCAACCATGGATGCGGACGACATCAACAAGGATGCAACACAATGTGAAGCTTCTTCTTAGCAGCAAACTAGGACATAGTCTGAAAAGGCGTATCAAACTCATAGGACGTGATCTGAGGAGTGACTTCCAACACAGTCAAATCACACCCGATTAGAAGGCATGCGGGTTTTCTTTGGGTTTTATCAGTTTCAGTTTTGCATTCAAAATTTTTTGGATTTTAGCGGAGGAAACTTTCCAATTTAAGTGACAATGATCTAACATATTTGGAAATTATGTTGTGTAAATTCTTAATTATGGTGTGAAGTGCACCACATTCATACTCGACTTATTCGTCACACTTCCATAACCAAAGGTTATCTTAGCATAATAGTTTTCCATTTCAACCAATCGAGTTGAACTATAAATAACCTGATTCCCACTATTTAGGGATATGTAGGCGAGCTCAATGTTAAAAACTCGATTAAATTCTGATCTCCACTCTCAAATCTTATCCTCGAGCATTCTAGACTCTTTATAATTCGATATGGGGATAACTTTTGAATTCTTTCAAAATCATGCGTCGAATCAAGACTATCGAACTACTAGTGGCCTGAATTCTCATATAACCTGAGATTTGTAGGAAATCACTTCTGAGGTTCGGTCATAATTCTTAAAGTCTGTAATAAAAAGTTTTTTTTCCTGAAGAATAAATATGTGGTGGTCAAAATTGGATCTGTCAATTTCATTTGCCTCGAATTTCTTTCATCAATCCAATTCAAACAAGGGACACCAAATTTTGGACCTCTACGATATTAGTTAGTCACCGAGCTTCTTAAATCCTCGAACGATTTTAAATAAGTCACAGACGAAGAAAGTTTTGAATAAGTCACTTTGTAAAATTTCAATTCAAACAAGGGACACCAAATTTTGGACCTCTACGATATTAGTTAGTCACCGAGCTTCTTAAATCCTCGAACGATTTTAAATAAGTCACTTTGTAAAATTTCAAATATTTTTTTCTAGTTAATTTTGAATAGTTTTGTTACTTTTTATAAAACATTTTTAACATAATGTATGTATATAATTGGTATGATTAATATTCAAAAATCGACTCAAGAAGTATTTTTTTATTTATTTAAATATGTTGTTTATATTTTAACTATATAATAGTTTATATCTTTAATTATTTTATTTTGTTAAAGTTCCGACCCACGTTAAAAGCTTTCTTCTCTTATGAGATTTCGATTGAATAAACAATGGTTATTTCAAACACCGTCTACTGTCCCACCAACTGATCAGTGGGTTCATGCCGCACAGAAACCGAGACCTGAGAAGGAGGCTGTAGGAGAGAGTCCAGCATAACAGAAATCATCTAAGCTGACAAGGACCCAGAAAAGGAGGATGCT